ATGAGGTGAGAACAGGTCTTTCTAGTCTTTTTGTTTTGGGTTTTGTTTTGATTTGGGTTTTGTGTGTGTGTGTGTGTGTGTGTGTGTGTGTGTGTGTGTGTGTGTGTGTGTATGTGTGTACCTCTGGCTGTCCTGGAACTCGCTCTGTAGACCGGGCTAGCCTCAAACTCAAAGATCCACCTGCCTCTGCCTCCCAAGTGTTGGGATTAAAGGCATGCACCCCCACTGCTCAGCTGGTCTTTCTAGTCTTAATTCAGTAAGAAATATTTTTTTTTAAATCATGGGTGTTTAGGGTTAAACAAAACCCATTTAATTCTCATATTTCTAGGTCTTAGGCCAGGATGTCAGCAGATTCTGTGTGTTGATGATAGCCTTCCTAATCTGCAGCGGGCTTCCTTTTTTCTGTGAACTTGTATAGAGGAAAGCAGAGGGCTCTAATATCCTTGTAAAGGCCCTAACCCCCTAAGTGGGTATCCTATAACCCAGGCAACTACAATTGCCTCCCTAAGGCTCTGTCTCACATTGAGGTCTAGAGCTTCAACTTGGCAATTTGACAGGGCTGAGAGACACACAGACATTCTGTCCACAGTGGGCACTGAATGTTATTGGATGAACCTGTCTCTATCTCTTCTTGTAGTTTTACTCCTTTTGTCTTCAGTGGGAGTTATATAGGATGATTTTCTAATGTTAAACCAAGCTTGCATCCTTGGAGTGGGCTCCATTTTGTCATGCATCATGTTCTGTTTGCCCAGTTAAACTCAACTTGCTAGTATTGTGACCCATTTATGCTCATGAGGAGGATTAGCCTGTGGCCTCCCTTTACGTACTGTCCTTGTGAATGTATGGGATTCATCTCAAACAAATGCAGGCGCGTATTTAGAAACAAATCTTGCGCACTCCCCTGCTTGATTGACACCCCACACTTCCCAGATTAGCCTTCCGCATTTCGGACTTTTCATGACCCACATCTCAGGCCATGAATTCTTCAATAGCTACCACAGGGTAGACAAGCAGGAAGAGCCCTGCTGGAAGACTGTCACTCAGTGAGAATTAGGAGGCGGGGCTTTATGGATAAGCTAATCACTCCGTTTTCTCTCTTCCATTGGTAACTAAAAGATTGCCTTCCTCCTTGCAATAGTTCCAGAAAAGCCCAAATGCCAAAAAGCACACACACACTGAGTGACCTAAAGTGAGTAAATCCCGTGTAAATTCCCAACACCCCAAAATTCTAATCAATGAAATTTCCCAAGTACTGACCTTAGGTTGCAAGGGACAAATTCCAGATGTGGCCAACATGCAGCTACATTAAAAACGTGTAAATTTACTTCCAAATGATGTGAGAAAATGCACATCTCTATCTCCAATTTCATTATTATATCCAAATATTTAAAGTCTGAAATACTTCAGATCCTATACGTTTTGAATAAGATGGACACCTCAATGACTGTGATGCGGCAATCTGTAGAGTAACACGTCATGACACATTTCAATGGTTTCTACGAATGAATTTCAGTGTTCTTCTTGCTCATCCTGCCCTGAGCTTGCATCTCCTATGTATTAGCAGCTTAACTTTTGTTCTGATTCTGCATGCTAGGGGATCTAAATAAGCTAAGAAACCTCTATATGAGAGCGCAGGACTTTTTTCCCTTGGGTTTATATGCTACCATTAGGAACTACTGTTTCATTCTCTTTGATGATTTTAAGGCCAGCATTGCCATAAGATAATTTTCTGAAGTTATCTACTTTTTTCTAACAGTTAACTCTTTCACCTGTTGTTTAAACTTTATTGGTATAAAAACTTATGATAGCATGTTTTCTTATTGATCATATTTTCATGCATCTCCTGTAAGAGCTATAGTGATTTCCCTGCTGTTATTTTGGTACTTTTCCAAACCTGCCAGTGTTCTGAAGATTTCTCTGTACATTTGAAGAGTCAACTTTGAACTTTGCTGATCTGTTTGTTTCCTACTTAGTTTACAAAAATCACCATGAGGTCCTCTCATCTATCTATGGGAAATGAATATCTGGCTCAAGTTCAACCGCTTTCTTATGCTGTGTTCTAGGAGTCTTAGAGTGCAAGCCTCCTTGCAGCAGGCTTTCTCAGACTGCATCCTCCATGATGCAGAGACTTAATATTAATTATAAATGCTTGGCCTTGTCTTATGCCTATCCCTCTGGCTCTTATAACTTATTTTAACCTGTTTCTCTTCATCTGCATTTTGCCTCAGGACTTTTTTTTTTTTTACCTTTCTTTCATTCTGTACATCCTATTTTTCTGCATCTTCCGTGTTGATCTGGCTGAGCTGGCTGGCCCTGGGTGTCTCCCTCATTCTATCCTTCTACTGCCTAGCTTTTGGCTGTTCACCTTTTTATTAGAACAATTAGGTGCCTTAGGCAGGCAAAGTAATAGCTGTGTCCCAATAAGACTTTGTACATTGGGTCACTTTGCAGTGGCCAGTTTAGTGACTACTGGCTTTGGGTATGTTCTTGAAAATAATTTATAGCTTACAACTGTGTGGCTCATAATCTTGCACTTAGTAAATTGGAACATGTTCATCAAATTCTGATGTTCAAATCTGTGCTGTATGTGTGGTTTTATAATTGAGTGTTTACAACCCACTGTCATCATCAGTTTATCCACTTTTTACTTTGTAGCTATGTTAAAGAGCACACACTAGTCTTGCATTTTATTCTGCCTCCATCCACACTTGTACCCTTGTGAAGTAATCCTCATTGTCTCTAGGACTTTGTAGCTATGTTAATGAGCCCATGAGTCTTACATTTTATTCTGTATCAATCCACACTTGTACCAGTGTGAAGCAATCCTCATTGGCTCTAGGCAGAATTTTTATCTTGAGTGACAGTAGTTGGAGATTAATAAGGGTATATTAGCTTTCTTCTGGAGTTTTGCTTTCTGGCACCCATTTTTTCATCTCTTTAAGATTGTATTATTTACTAACTAGTGGGAGTCCGTTCTCTCCTTCCCACCTGTGAGTCCTGGGATTGAACTCAGGTTGTCAGACTTGGCAGCTGGTGTTTTTACTGAGCCATTTTGCCAGAAGATTGTTATTTTCAATCTTCCTGTGGTTTTTATTTGGTTCCTTATCAATAGTGCAGAGCATATTCTTAGGATCTTGGAAGTTAAGGTGAATGAAAACATTTACTGATGAGCCAGGAGGTCAGTGACCTATCTGCTGTTATGACAACAGAACAAGATGTCTCTGCAACATTTTACAACTTCCCACTATGGATTTTGATTGGGTTTCCATCAGTCCCTCAGTGATTACACAAGAACTAATGTGGTTTTCTATTTTTGTATTCACTAGCACCCTGAGGCACTGTGGCAGGAAGCACTGGGAATTCCCAGTGAAGTTGCTTTCCCCTCAGATCTTCACTTACCCTCCCCCACGCTCCCTGACCATCCTGGTGCCTCACTCTTTGTAGAACTCCACAGGAACCTCCAGCACTAAGAAAGAATGTTTCTGACATATGCCAAGTACCAGATGTAGGGGCTGGAGGGCTCAGTAGTTGGAAGCATTTGGAGCAGATGTGGCTGTGACTTATCAGCCTGTAAGACCCTACAAAAGGCCTATGACTTCCTTAAATTTAAATTACAGTATAGGAAACTTGTCAAGGTCTTCTTTTCTCCAAGAGTGTATGGACTAAAGGGTTAGGAAAGGTTCTCACTTAAGACAAAAGGCTCCCAGGGGTCTCTCTTCCACTCTGCACCAGATCACAGCACCCATGAACAGAATCCTTCTGAAAATACACGCCCACTCCTTGGCAGAGAGATGCATTCCTAGCGCCCCAGGCAGAAGTAAAGAGAAGCAAGACCCCCCTGAGACCTCGTTCCCAAGCTGAGGGCTCCTACTGTCACTGCCACAAGTCCCAATCATCAGTTTAGTGAAGTCCCTCTGCCCACTTGCATTTCCTCCTAGCCTTGGGCTGCTTCCAACGCATAGTCAACTAAGGTGCAGGAGCCAAGACATCAGGCCCAAGCATCAGGCAGAAGGAACCTAAGTAAGGCTCCATCACTTGTTAGTCAAGACTCTGGACGAGCTAGCCTTTTTGGGTCTCAGGAAGCAATGTCATTGGGACTGGAGGGAGGAATATAGCGCAGAATGGTTATACCAACACAAGGGCACAGTGCCTGATCTACCACTTGGCATGCAGCCTGACCTATTGCTACACAGGAACCAGGGGCCAGAGGTCATGACTCAACAGGCAACCAACCGCAAGATCACCCAACAGGAAGCTCATAGTGCATTTATCTCTGCATTTCCACCCCCTGCCACGCACACGGCAAGTTAACATCATAGGAGTGTGTGGCTTTTAGTCTAAGGTTGTTGTGATTCACAGGGTATGGCTTCTCAAAATGTTGTCTGCAATCCACAGACAAGCTAAGCTATTCCACAAAACTTTTGTTGATTTTGGGGATAGGGTCTCATGTAGCCCAGGTTGGGCTCAAACTACGTATGTGGCTGAGGGTGGCTTTGAACTCCTGATCCTCCCATCTCTACCTCCAGGGTGCTGGGATCAAAGGCATGCAGTACTTCACTTCATTTATTCTGTGCTGAGGAAAAGAACTCCAAGGCTCTGTGTATGCTAGGCAAGCATTCTACCAACTGAGCTCCATTATCAGCCCACAATTTTCACAAAGCACCAGACAGACAGGCTGAAGGCCAACTGAACTCCGGGCCGTTTATGAAACCCTGTAGGGCACACCAAAAGCTCTAGTCTTCAGACATAACCGACACAAGCACAGCTCCAACCCGCTTCCCTCTGTCCTTCCATAACCCCCACCCAGGGCAAGCTAACCCCATGGGTAGCACTGGCTGCCAAGCCTGATGACCCAAGTTCAACCGCCACTCATATGGTAGAAGGAGAGGAATGAGCGAGCCAGTGGCTGTTGTGAACTTCCCATCCCAACAAAGTAAAGGTAACAAGACAAAGGAGGCAGATTTCATCTCAACGACACAGACTTTTGCAGACAAGAAAGGTGACCCACACTTTCATTTTCTTTATTTTTCATTGATACCGTATGGATACAAAGTTTCTAGAAAGCTACAAAATGTCTACCACTTTATCAAGAAGGCATCAAAATGTGTCACTTTGCAAAGACATGAAAACACCTGCAGGAACTGACACAAAAATAGCATTTTTAGAGTGATGAAATAATTGCACTTAACTGTCATGGATATTAAAGTTATCACACATATGTACCGCGAAAGCTAGAATACATTTTTTTTACAAAGCACTTTATAAAAAAATTCTCTGCACACAAACCCTATAATTTTCATATACCTATCATACTAAAGATAAATTCACTTTAAAGCCAACACTTACAACATTTTTAAACAAAAAGGTACCAGTACCTAAACACAAACGTTAACGAATACAAGAATACTGTACTGCCGGGAGCTTTAGCCAAATGCCTTTTGAAAGTTTCTGCGAACAGTTTAAGAAAACATGTGGAAGAGCCATTCCACCCTCTTCTCCATGGTCTCCCCAAAGAGGGACCCAGTCATCCAAAGGCTCTGGTTCCGGCCCAGTCCCAGCAGCAGTACAATCTCAAAGGAACCACTGACCAGATGAAATGCTAACGCCACAAGCCCATCCTATACACTTTACACAAGAGACAACAGAGAAGCCATGAAGTCGCTTAGAATGTGAACAAACACACGTGGCAAAAACCAATTTTCATAAAATTTGAGCATATCAAAGAAGTAAAGGCTTTTCAGGTTTTTTAAACATTACAAAAAAAAAGATTTTTTTTTGTCATTTTTCAGGCACGTACTGTTTTTGTTTTTACTGTTTTTTTTCCTTGTCTGAAATCATAAGCCCACTGAAAAAGGCCTAGAGAAGTTGATCTTCCAAGGAGGTAACAGGAGACGTACATTTGTTTTTTAAAGAAGTGCAGTTAATATCTATTTTACACAGTGAAACTAATGACAGGAAACGATTTTTAAAACAAAAAAAAAAAACAAAACCCATGGACAGGGTTTCCAAAATGACGGACGCGTGTGTGGGTTCTGTCCACCTTTCTAAGAAAGAGGGGAAATAGAATGTCCATGGTGAAAACTGGCAAGGGTCACGCTGAGCCAGGCTGGAGCCTAGTGGGATCTGACCCCATGGTATGAACGAGGGTGAGGACACACACACAATGCTGCTTCTACCTAAAATGATGTAGTGTGAGGCACAGGGACCCAATGCTGATTCACAGAGAAAACAAGTCAGGAAGGAGCAATAAATACATAGACATCTTAGTCAACGATGCGTGACTTCAGTGAGGCCTACCCTTTGCAACGTAGTACATTTTAAACACAAAACCTTCATTTTTAGGATATAAGCAATGCGTTTAGGAGAGACAACTACCACCAGACAGGACAGCAATGGCTAGGAGGCACATGCAAACACATTTGACTAATTTCTTCAAGTTGCGGTGTGTTCCTGCCAGGGAGGAGTCCAAGACACCAAACAACTAACTCTAACCTGTGCTAAGGAATTCTCCTTTCCATATGAGAGTTGTTTTTCTTTAAAAACAAAACAAAATAGGGCTTTTATACAACTTGGGGTGGATACAAGTCACCCCTGCAATTTCAGAGCCCAGAAGGGCTATTCCTTAGACACCAGGGAGGGCAAAGAATGAACGGATGTGGGAGAGTTTCGAGGCTAACTTTCAAAGTTGTCTGTCATTTACTTTCACACTTAACATCAGCAAAGGAATTTTAAAAAAGAAAAAGGAAAAAGGAAAAAAAAAACGTATTTCTTTCCTGGCTTCTTTTTGCCTCCTTTGTCCTTTTCCTTACTGTATGGGGTTTCCAGATGCACAAAGATTTTACTCTAAGCTGACACAGACTTCAAAGAGTTGGCTCTCTAAGGACTAGAACATTCTTGAAAATGCCAAATTGCAAATGTGCTCTTTCGAAGACACACAGCACATCAGACATCCGGAGCCAGCAAATCTGTCTAAAGACACTTAAGCTGCAATGACCCTAATGAACCCATTTTTAATTTTTGTTCTGCACTGTCATCTCAACGTGAGGCTTCCAACAACCAAATGGTATCACTGTGCAAGCAAGTGCGCACTTCGTCCCAGTGGATGAGAGTCTCCACAGACTGGACATGGACACATGGAGAAGGCAAAGCCGCGATGTCTGTCCACTGGCCGGGATTCGGGTGCTTGTGCGCAAATTCCTTCCCAGGGATGCAGAGCTGGGTGACGAGTTGATGGACATGCTGGGGGAGGGGAGTCAGCACACAGACACAACAGTTTGTGGGGTTCCCCCGCTGCAGCACTGTGCTATAGGTGAGCAGTGGTGGAGTCCCCCACTGGCAGGCAGACTCCCAGCAGGCAGGGACCACACGGTGCTCTCATGAATAGAGGAGGCCTGTGGTTGGTTACTCATCCCGGTTAACCAAAGGCATTATGGTGATCTCAAAATATTTTTGGTCTCTCTACAAATTGTCGTTATTACGGTGGCACTTTCTAAGCTGGAATCTCGAGCCAAAGGCACTTTCATGCTGGAGTGCAGAAGATTCACAAATAGCTAAGTATTTGGTCATGAATTGAAAAAGGCATCAATGAAAAGTACAATTCACTCTTTATAGTAAACTGCGGTGTTGCAGCCTTTAGTTTTGGTATGGATACGTATGTGAGAGCATGGTCAAAGGACTGACTTGGGTTCTGATTCAGGTTGTTTGAAACCAAGTCATCAGCTTCCTATAGAGCTAGTTTTAAAAAATGGGGTTTTGAAACGAAAATGAAAACCGTTTTGGCTTGTCCTGCTTCGGATACTGGGCCAATTAGCAAGTGGACACCGAGAACAGGCCTGAGAAAAGGCTGGCGGCTACTAAGGTATTACTAAGGCACTGCTTCACTGGGAGGCTTTGGCAGCTGTGAAGTGAAAACTCCCTTAAAGAAAATGAAAAGTAACAGTAGTAAGAGAAATGCTTCCAGCTTACAAAAGGGCTCACGGTTCCCAGACAACCTGTCACACCGACACCCTACGACGTGCCGTCTCCAAGATTTAAGGCTTTTCAGAAAAGACACGTGCAGGGCTTAGCCACAGAAACATCAACACAGAAGTCAGCAACTCAGCATCCTCCTAATGTCACAGCGAGGACACTGACACACAGTCACCCTACCCTTCCTCAGGACAGGTGTGGTACACCAGAGCATATACAAAGTCATATAAATTATAGGTACCTGGTTTATAAAACTGACCATCATGTGACTTCACTCATTTATGGTTGTATAAAAACAGTGGCTGGTGCCACCATGGTATTGAAGCCTAATGAAGCCTGGATCTAAAAGTCCTTTCAACACCAAAGGTTCTATTTTGGCTGGTGTGTGAGCAGAACTTTGCTTCTGGGATGGGTGGCAAATAGAAATTTGACTCAAAGCCTATGGCTGGAGAACTGTCCTCAGAGAACGTGAAGAGGCGCATCAGACTTGCCATCTCCTGTGGTCCCCAGATAGCTACAGGGGATCTGAAGTGACCCTGTCCATGCATCCTCAGGGATCACTTAAGCACAGAGCACCAAGGAAAGATAGCTTCCACCCAGGAAAGGTTGAAGTAGGAAGAGAAGCCCTCACCCTTGTCCGTGACTAACTAGCCGGGAGACTTCCAGGCACCTCTCATCCCCTCCAGGTGAAGGGGAACGGACTGTGCTCTCTTTTAGGTTGAACATGAGCCACCTTCTGGAACAGATCCAGACCCGCTCCATCCCTAAAGCTGAAAGAGATACAACAGACAGCATGAAGCAGTGCGGAGGCAACACACATTAACAATGAAAGGATGAGGAGAGTGGGGAGCTTGTGAGAAAGAACCAAATCTGGGGGGGGGGGTTTCTTTTTAAGCCCTGGTAAAGTAAGGGTTCCAGGCCGAATCAGAAATGCTCTTTAAATGGAAGTCAGATGGCTACAGGGAGGCTGCCGGCTAGATATGAGAGAAAGAGCAGCAGGAAAGGAAATGGTAGCTGTACAGGAGGCACCTCTTAAGAGGAAGAAGGATGCTGCTGAAGAATACCATCTACTCACCTCTTCCTGATCCTCACCCCACGGGATGAGGGAAGAAAAACTCGTTATCAATGCTAAGGAAAGTAAGAGAACGGGCGGCCATTTTCAACTAAGGCTGAACCTTGCACAACCCTGGGCAATGAGCTGTGACAACTGTGAAGGTGACCAGGAATTCTAAAACCATCTGACAATGCCCAGGGTAATCGCCAATTAACTAGCCAAAAATGTCCCAGGCCTCCAGTTAGGTGGACTCTGGGGTCCCCGGACATTTAGGTCTCTTTCATTGGATAGATGGTGTCTAAACTATGCAGTGACTGAGCAAGATGTCAACATGGTGTCTAAACTATGCAGTGACTGAGCAAGATGTCAACATATGTCCCTGACAGATCTGTCCTAGAGACAACACTAAGAAGGGAAGGGCAGGGCTCGCCAAGGACTCCCTAGGGTCCAGGGAGCTGGCTGGAAAAGGAAGAGAAGGAACCGAGAACAACCAAAGATCAGGATTCAAGGGAGGACACAAACCCCACCCCAGACCCCCAATTGGGAAATAAAGCAAGTTTGGGATAACTGGGTCATTGATTAAGACAGAGAAACTCTAGAAGTCTCACAAATCGTCCAGTTATCAGCACTGAAGACAGAGCAGAAAGACTGTAGGAGCAGGAGGTGGGGTGGGGTGGACTAGAGCAAAGGTGTCTTCTGGACACAGGAGACCACTGTGTTCACACTCACAGCAGCTGTGAGAACAAGCTGGCCAAATCCCAGCATTGAGGGTGGAAGGGGCTCATGAGCCTCCACCCCAAGGCTGAGGAGCAAAGACAGATGATGGCTTTTGGGGTAGGGGAAGCCAGTTTTCTCTTAAGAGTGTGGTTCCCAGTAGGCCAACCACGCTCCAACAGATGTCCACACATGCTGTATACGGGCAGCACAAATTTGGCATGGTGGGTGTTCTGGCTAGTTTTGTGCCAACTTAACACAAGCTATTATTATCTGAGAAGGAACCTCAACTGAGAAAATGTCCCCATAATAAATGGCTGTCAGGAGTCAGGAGATGGTGGCACATGCTTTTAATCCCAACACTCAGGAGGCAAAGGGAGGCAGATTTCTGTGTGTTTGAGGCCAACCTGGTCTACAGAGTTAATACTAGGACAGCCAGGGCTGTTACACTGAAAAAGAAAGGGGCAGGGGAGGAAGGGCTCGAGGCAGGCCTGTAGGGCATTTTGTTAATAGACAGGGACCATTGTGGATAGTGTCATCACTGGGCTTCTGGTCCTGGGTTCTATAAGAAAACAGGCTGAACAAGCCATGAGGAGCAAGCCAGAGAGCTGCACCGCTTCAGAGTCTCTGTATTAATTCCTTATCTCGGGTTCCTTCCCTGACTTTCTTCGGTGATGGACTATGATGTGGAAATGTAAGCCAAATAAACCCTTTCCTCCCCAACTTGCTTTTGTTAGTTTGGTTTTTGTTTTGGGGTTTTTTTGGTCACGGTGTTTCATCTTGGCAATGGTAATGCTAACTAAGATGGTGGTTATTTTCTTGTTTTAAAGAACAAGAAGTTGGAAGGGGTGGAGATATGGGGATGGAAATAAGTTAGGGGGAAGAATAGGTGTTGAATATGTATTAAAGGATTTTATAGCCATTTTAAGAGCAAAAAGTAAATCAGGGTTATTCCTATTCCCTACCCCACCCTCACCCCCAGAAAGGCCTTTGGAAGATCACCCAGACAGAGAGGCAACAGAGACAGCATCCTAATTCTGTAAAGTCATACCCTCCCCACAGCCAACCACTATCCTCTAGGTGGTATTTGGGAAACGAACCCCCAGAGCCCGGTGGTATAGAGGGCAACTCCACTCCTAAGTGGCAGATCTCCCCTTCACACTCTGGGATGGTCTGGACTGTAGTCACAGATCATTTGTACACATTCTTATAGTCCTAGTGTCAAGACAGTGGGGCATTCCTCTAGAGGAAGGCTGTAGGAAATCAAAGCTAAAGGAACACCCCTATGGGATTAACTAATGGCATCCCTTAAGGATATCTGATTTGAAGACAGACTGACAGAGAGAAACCCAGTGTAGCCATTCTTTTGAGGACTGGTTTAGAGCCAGGGAATCAAGGCAGTTCTCCTGAAGAGAAAAACAATGCCCCACTGGCTCACAGAAGGGAGACACATTGCTAATGGCAAAGTCTTGCACATTCTCCTCAGGTCTTCCCAGGGACCAGAGATGCAGCTGGCAGGAGACAGAGTCAATCCAGCGTGGTTCCTTTAGCTACATGCCAGTCATGCCCAACCACTTAAGACCACAAGTGGCTGAATAGTCAGAGCAGATGTTGGGGCAAAGAAGGGATATGTGTCACCTGGGTATAGTAGAAGTAGGATTTTACTTGATAGGCCTTGGTATCAAAAACAATTTGCCGTGCTACCTGTTTTTTTCAACTTAAAAAGTTAATGTCATGTTCTACTGTGTTCACGTATTCCTAACTGTGTGTGGGTGCGTAAGGAAACTCTTACTCTCCTCTTACCTTCCCTGGGAAGTGGAGTGGTAACCTTTCTTGCTTCCCCAGTGAGAGAAAGTACTCAGAGAAGTAACCCCAGACTTGCCACATGAGACCAACATGCTTTGGAAATCTCAGATCAGAGATGTGAACTCTCTTGGAAACAGAACTTACCGGATGAGGGAGTCTACTTGGAAAAAAAATCAGGGCGGGAAGGGGGGGTGAGTGAAAGAGAGCACACAAAGTGCCACTGAGGCTTATGAAGAGAGGTCAAGAGATGCCCTTAGAGAAAATATATCCATGTCTATAATGCAGACCAAGAGAGAAGTGATAAGCTACTAGCAAACTGACAGGAGACAGGAGTTCAAAGAACTGAATTCCACATGTGCATGAACACAGTTATAATCACAGATGCTTTCCATGCACGTTGGGTTACCAGCAACAAACTACCCACAGGCTGGTGAGGAGGCTGTGACGGTGACAATTATGGGGAGCAGAGACAGCAAGCCTGATGAGCCTTATACTTGTTCAGATGACAATTTTCTCCCAGCCACAGGATTTCTGCATCCTTTGCAACTCACAGTGCAGTATTCATGCCAATTTTTAAATTTTCCTGTTAAATTTCAGTGGTTCAAATGTGAACTCTTTTCCATAAAAAAATTTGGTTGACCATATAAAATGTAACTGCACACACAAGACTATAACATTGTAAGCTTAGATTTGTTTCAGTATTATCTACTTATTGCAAAAAGAGCCATCTTTTCTTTTTCATTAAATAATCAATTATCACATTAGTACAATACAATTTTACATTTTTAAATATACTATATATGTTAAGGATAAGGGGTGACATTTTCTTTCTTTGCAACACCTGTTTCAAGAGTTTAATGAATTAGGATATTAGTTTTAACCTTGAGGGGTGGAAAGGTACAAAATTTGTCTCATTAGGATATTTCTACCAAGCATTTCTTAAGGCTATAGTTTAACATTTGGTTTTAAAAAGAAAAAAGATTTCATTTAAAAAATAATTTAGTGAATTACATTCTTCCATAACTTCCACCCTAATTAGTTACAAAGATAAGTCTAAAGAATCTTAGTTTTCTTGTACTAATTTACATTTAAAGATTAATTTTACTTGTATCTTAAAACAAGAATTTTATGTTGGGAAAACAAACAAACAAAAAAGAACTAAATACATTTGTGTAAAGGCAGTCAATGCCCCATGGCCAATCCTCTGTCTCATTATTTTCTACCACAACAGGAAACAGGTCTGCAGAGAGAGAGGTTTAGCCTGGTAAGATTCACCTTCCCCAAGGAATTGTGGGTTGCAGATCTGAGGAATACACAAAAACTGCATCACAACTTCACAGCTACAATAATAGCATGAACACATGAAAAAAAATAATAAGTTCACTCAAACAGGATTTAGAAAAGTCAGGGTGTGACCTGGGCATCACCTGGCCCAGGCATCACCTGTGGTGAGGTTTACAGTCAGTCGTTCGATAATGGAGAGAGTGTGTGTGTGCACATATGTGTGTGTATATACAGATATCTATATTTATAAATAACCAGGTTCAGTCCTTTACAAGCCTGTAGATATGATGCTGTGCTCCATGTTCACTATTTGAAACTTCAAATACACAGGCCATGCAGAGGAGAGTTTCTTGTGTATCCCTGTTTGTTACCACCTGTTAAAAAAAAAAAAAGGTATATGTATCATCATCCCACATAAATGAGCCAAGAGCATGATTTGATGGGAGAAGAGCCATCTTAAGGTGATGGGTGATCAGAGACCTGTTCAGCCTTGCTCTGCATCCTCCAACACATTCAGGAGATTACAAGTCCCACTGGAACCCCACCTTAGTCCAGTACCATACTAATGGAAGACCCTACATATTGTACTTTAAAAGAAGTGGCTCACACCATGCAACAGAGTTCAAGGAGAGGGGTTTTCCATGAAGGGAAAAGGATTGCAAAAGGGAGAAAGAGGAGGGGGGAGACTGGCCTTCAGTGACAGGAGCAGTGGGGAGACGACCAGAGACAGACAGAGAGAGGGAAAGGGGGAGAGAGGGAGGGAGGGAGGGAGGGAGGGAGGGAGGGAGGGAGAGAGGGAGGGAGGGAGGGAGGGAGGGAGGGAGGGAGGGAGAGAGGGAGGGAGGGAGGGAGGGGGTCGGGAAGTGGGCAGGGCCCTTTTAAAAAGGGAACAGTGAATAGGCACAGGTTGTGCTCTTCTTAGTGGCAGCAGCTGAGAAAGTATCTTGTTAGAACTCCAAAGGCAGGCCAGTAAAATGCCTAAATACTAACACTAGAGATGGTCAGATCACCTGTAAGAACTGGTATGTTTCCTGTGTTCAGGACTCCTTTGTTTATCAGCAAGAATACTCTCTCACAGGACATTCACATGTTTAGGTGACTTTCACCTATTTTAGTATTTTTATCTTAATTTGAATTGACAAATAATTGTATATATTATAGAGTAACGGTGTGATACATCATGTTGGTTAAGTCAAGCTAATTACTACAGTTACCATATTTATTTATTCTGTTAAAAATATTTAAAATGATATTTTCTCATCTTACAAAACCTGAGCTAAATTCTACTTCACAATAGCCAACTACAGAGTTAACTTGATGGGCACCTTGATTAGTCTACCATGTGAGCCAGCAGTAGCTGGATGAGGGAAAGCATTTGCTGTGCACAGAAGGAATCCTGTCTGAAGATGCTGCTTTCTGCTGACACAGGTTGTACCTCTCACGATGGGTTAGGAACTACCCATCCATTGCCCGCCCTGGGCCGCTCTCCCTCACACCAATGATCTTGGCCTCTCTCAGATCTGAGGCCTGGCTCTCCTCATGCTGGCCCCAGCCCCCCATGCCACCTCAGAAGGAGCATTCTGAAGGCCAATCTGATCAAATTTACAACCTCAAGGTTCAATGGTTTTCTGTGGCTTTCATGTTCAAAACCATTTTGAACTTGAGTGCCTTATCTAGCTTGTCAAGGACCTAATTTCCCCTCTGCAATGGTCTGCTTCACCCATTTACGTTTCCCTCACCTTCAAGCACCCAAGCTCAGGGTCCCTGATTGAAAAAAGAAAGCCTCACTTCTGATTTTCTCCATGGACCTGTGATTCACATAGATCGGTGTTTTTCAATATCCAGCTCACCAAGCAGACTACGAAAAACTGGACCATGTTGTCTACTTAACCAGCTCAGGCATGACACACCATGATCGAGGGTTTGGTGAGTGATCAAGACTCACAGCCACCACCAATGCTGTGTGCTCACTATGCATCTACCACAGTATGAGACGCTTGGCACACACTGGGTCACATCCAACCTCACAGCTCTGTGACTGAATGCTACCGTTCCCCATGACAGAGGAGACCGAGGCACTGTGTGCTCTAGACTAATCAGTTCAAGGCTGTTAACCCACCTATGAGCTACATTATACCATCCTGGCACAATGGCCCTCTCTGCCAGACACTGGTGATTATTTTATTTTCCATGCATTTAGTAGATGAATGCCCACCTCCTTCATCTGACCTTGTGATGGCTGCCCCACTCATTCAGTTCATCACAATACTCCTAGCACTGGACACCCAAATATGCACTAAGTAAAGTCTTACTTGCTTGGTAAATGTGAAAAATGTCTACTTCTTTTTCAACTTAAATGTCCTATCCCTGAGAACTCCACCCCTCTATATCTCTGGACTTCCGTGGGGCTTAGTTCAGAAATACTCAACAATTTGTATGACTTTGTATCACAATCTGACTCAACCAGCCATAGGCCATCATGGCACAAGCACTGCGCTGTTAAACTGCTTCCTTGCAGCCAATGTTGTACCCATGGTGTAGCTGAGAAATTTTAAAGAATCTTACTGATCACCTTGAGGCAAAGAATACAGATTTGAGTGATCCATTTATGGTTGAAGACAGAAATGCAAGTCTGAAGACTTGAAGTGGCTTGGCAAGCAGAGAGGACCTTCCGCTCAAGCTTTCTTTTGACTAAGTTTGTGTCAATCACCATGATCTTGAGGGGATCATAGTGATTCCTAAACCACAAAAATGATACTGTAGTTTATGGTAAGAATTTTACAAAGGGTCTTTGTATCTAGCATAATGCTAGAAATGACTGAGACACATCCATTCTCTCAGTCTGTCTGTCTACAGTAAGGATTGAGAACTCAGGACCTCAGGCATGGTAGGCAAGTTCTTTTTTCCCTGAGCATCCCCCAGGTCTCTTTTTGTTTTGTTTTAAAATATTTTATGTGATTTTACTTTATATGTGTGAGTGTTTGCCTGCATTTATGCATGTATAACATGCCCCTGGTGTCCTCCGAGGCCAGAAGGAGGACGTCAGAGCCCCTGGAGCTAGAGTTACAGATGGCTGTGAGACACCATGTAGGAAACTGAATGTGGGTCCTCTGTAAGAACAAGTGCTCTTAACTACCAAGCCAGCTCTTGAGCCCATCTTTTTATTATTTAAATTGAGACAGGGTCTTACTAAGTTGCCTAGACTAGCCTTGAACTCTCTGTGGCCCAGGCAGACCTTGAATGTGCAATTCTCCAGGCCTTGGCTTGAGAAGTTTGGATTACAAACCTAGTATCAGGCTCAACCTCTGTAAACTTAGTATCAAAGAGATTAAGATCCAAAGGCAAAAACATACGCAACCTCAGAAGATACCAGGCACAGTCGGCTCATGGCTCACCTGTCTTTCTCAGCTCTGCTCCATGTGTTCAGCTCAATTCCCTAGGAGAAAGGATGCAGCCAGAGCCTAGCCTACCAGTTGGCATGGCTTTAAATTGGCTAGACTGTCCAATTTCTCCTGTCTATCAATTACATGGTTTGCATTTTGTAGTCCTGAAGTCCATGGTTTTCTAAAGCTATGATACTATTTCTTTCTTTCTTTTTTAAAATGTGTATGGTGTTTTTGCCTGCATTGAAGTCTGTGTGAGGGTGTCAGATTCCCTGGAACTGGAGTACAGACAGTTGTGAGCTGCCATGTGGTTGCTGGGAACTGAACCTGGGTCCTCTGGAAGAACAACTAGTGCTCTTAATCACTGAGCCATCTTTCCAGCTCCATGATACTGCTTCTAACAAAAGTTTCTTTGCAATTATTAATTGCTCATATCAAAATATTTTATTTACCTGCTTAATGGCACTGTTGTTTTGAGAGGGTTCCCTACAGCCTAGGTTGACCTTGAACTCCTGATCCTCCTGTCTCCGTCTGCTAAGTGCAGGGATTACACACAGGTACCATTGTGACTGGCTTTAATGACACATTTATTTTAAACCAGGACAGCTCTGCTGGTGGAAGTTGTATGTCCAGAGGCATGCTGCTGACAGATACCTGGGCTCTGTGAGAATTAGGGGCTTGGCTTTGACATCTCAGGGTCACATTCAATTCAGCCAGGCTCTCTGAGGCACAGGTGGGAGTGGGGCTATCACCATCCTCACCGTGCAGTCGTAGACAAAACTGGAATTAAAATTCATGCTGAGAGAGGTGGGTGGTCACCCACTTTAAGAGCTCAAATCATCGAGGTCGTTTCAAAGTCTAGGAAAGAACACACCCTCCCTGCCTGATCCCAAGGGCTGAGATCTGCACTCACTTTGCTTTTGTGTGTGTTTAGGTCAGGGTTTGAACTTGCATGGCTTCCTTGATCACTCTGCCACTTCATCTCATTTTGTTTTTTCTTTTTGAGAGGTGATCTCTACCTAAACATGGAGCTCACTGATTAGGTCAGGCTGGCCGATGGCTTCCAGGCACTGAGCAGTCCTTGGCTCCCCAGTGCTGGGGATGGCAAGCAGTGTCATGAGGCCTGGCTTCTTGTGGTGCAGAGAAACAGCCCTCAGTGCTCACACATGTTTGTTACGCACCTTACTGACTGAGCCATCTCCCCAGTTCCCACGCCCAAGGGCATGTGGGCTGCAGCAGGGCAGTTGGACACCTGCCCCCTGCCCCACACACTCTGCAAACTAGGGATACTGGTGACTGTTAGAGACAGGTGAATTCTAAGCTTCAGGAGCACACGGGCACAGCTGAGACTCCACTAAGAGGCTCCCTCTAGAGGGAACCAAGCTTGTAAGAAAGATCCCATCCATGCATGTTGGCCCTAAGTCTAAGCTCTGAGTCCCTAATGGCACTGACTCCTAATTCTGGCTATGCCGTGGCTACTTAAGTTGCTAGGTTTGCCCAGTAAGCACCTTTACCTGAGCCATCTCATTGGCTTGCTTGAAGAGAAGGTCCATTCTGCCTTCAACCTCCTGATCCCCCTGCCTCAGCCTCAGCCTCCCAAGTATGGGGATTATAGGCAGCATGTGCCACCACATAAAGCTTAAATGAGAGTTTGGTTTTAAATGGGAAGGAGCAGGAAAAGAGCCCTAGAAAACATTGTATATCTAACTGAGAATCACATCTCAGTGAAACCAGCATGCCAGGTAGGGCATTACTGAGATCAACACTCAGGCTCACCACTCCAGTAACAGACTACCGTGGCAGCCATTCAGAATGCTGTCTGACCGCAGACGGCCTTGTCAGCCCTGCAAGAAAACTGTTCTTGCTGAGTTTTATTTTGGCATTCTGACCTTCCAGGTAAATCAAGATTTTTTAAAAAAATAGCCTTATAAAACCTATTACAGAATATTTTATGAACATGTTTTGAGGACAAGAGCCTCTGATTCTGGTAACTTGGCAGCCATGGTGCAAGGGAACCTAGACTATCATTTCCTATCATTTCTGTTCTGAACTCAGGTCCCAGGTGGATCTGTCTTCTAATCCAAGCCCCAATATGGCCCAAGTTTGTTGGCTGGGTCGTGTAATTCAATTGGTGCCTAACCACCAAATATTCAAGTTTCCTTTCTGAAAACTTTTCTATCTCCCCCTCCACTTCCTCACTGTCTTCAACAGGCCTCAGGACAGACTCTGACAATGCCAAACCAGGAGAGAGACAAACATTACCAATAAAATGGTGAAGTTTTCCAAAACACTGTTCATCATATATTTCTCTGGTAGGTGTTTGAGTTTGTGGATGAAGTTGATCATATATTCACACATTGGCGAGCGGTTTATTCGGTACACAAATCGGCCATTCTCGAACCTTGCATACTCCGTCTGGGAGGGAAAAGAGGGTTGAGTTATTTTTTAATACTTCAAAACACAGAAGATGACTGCTTCAGAAAGCATTCACTTTTCAACATGTCATCAATACACTCTGTTATTTGTATAAATTGCCTAATTAAAAACAAACCCTACCTTTACTGCTGTACATAGAATCTACTACTTTTCTGAAAGTTTAAAAAATGTTGCAAAGGGTGACCTTTAAAGGACTTGATAGGTCCTTTTAGCAAAAGTGTGTGTGTGTGTGTGTGTGTGTGTGTGTGTGTATGTGTGTGTGTACTTCACACAACTCTAGGTAAGAGGCAAAGTAACACAAACTTAAGAGGACATGATTCTGGCCCTGCAAAACACAACTGCTAGTACTGAACCACCTGTGGTCAAGGAGACTGCAGAAGTGACCACTAGTTTGGAATACACAGAGAACTCAAGACCCTTAGGGAGGAACCACTGGGGTGTAACAGGACATCTGTGACAGATATTCTGAAGACAGATACTTTTTATTTCCTTTCCAAGACAGTGTTTCTCTGTATAGCCCTGGCTGTCCAGAACTTGCTTTACAGACCAAGCTGACCTCGAACTCACAGAAATTCACCTGCCTCGGCCACCTGAGTACTGGGATTAAAGGTGTGCGCCACCACCACCTGGTGACAGATCCTCTTTTGAGACAAGCCTATGTAGCCAGAGCTGGCCTGGAACTAGACATGTAGATCAGGCTATCCTTGAATCTGCTGGAATAAAATCAGGCTCCAAAAACCAAAGTCTGTCTGTTCTAGAAACCAGAATCTAGAAACATGAAACTGGCACAAATCATAAAATATTCAGAATTCAACAAGGAATAAACCAATATGATAAAAATCATAAAATCCTATTATGATGCCCACAATGAGACAGAAATGCAAATAGATTTCATTTTAATATTAATAATATATCACTTCAAATGTAATTATAGTGCACAAATTTTCTGTCCTTTTTTTAGACTAAATAAACTGCACATTATTTTTGGAAACAGGAAGGCTGGTTCTTAGCTTAGAAAAGATGGAAAAAGAATCTTAAGACAAACTTGTTTCACCTGACCCCAGAAGTTAGTTACAAAGTCACTGTGACTAAGGCCACAGGGAACTGAGTGGGATGGAGACACACACAGCGTGGAACAGGGCCACCAGCCCCTCCCCACAAAGCCTAGGATATTTCGAATGCTACGCAGACAGATTAAGCTGGAGAAAAGATTAATAATTGTGTGTATGATGTGTGTATTTTGCATGCATGTGGAGGTCAAAGGACAACTTACAGGGTTGGTTAGTTCTCCCCTTCTACCACGTGGGTGACGGGGACTGAATTCAAGTCCTTAGGCTTGGCGGCAAGCGTCTTACCTGCTGAGCCATCTCGCTGGCTGACACCCACCCCCCGGATCTAATCCTAATTTTGTGTTCCTGCTACTCTGTCAGGGCAGTCAGCTCCTCTCCCACACTAGTTTTAATTATCCCCAGTGCTCAGGATTCCCAATTGATATTTCCTGTCTCCCAAGTCTAGTCTCCAATCTCCTATTTGTCCCTTGAGAATGTACTTTCTGGTCACTGCTGCTGGCAAACATAAAGAGTGTGACCTCTGGCTTTCTCTCCTCTTTAAGCTTTAATACACAGTTACTAAATTTCATTTAAAACCTCTTACTGGAGTCCCACTGAAGCCATTTCAAGAAAGCTCATGACCTCCATTAAATTCAACATTAACTCAACCAACCCATATCTTTCCTGGCCTTTTTAATGTCCATCTCACATGGCTAGAGCTATGCTCAGGAGATTCCGAGGAAGCCCACACCCTCCGGGCTCTGCCTAAGCTCTTAAACCCTTCCCTCTCCTACCAGGCATCCTCCCGCTTGGTTGGAAGCTGGAGTCTTGCTACAGGTAGGTTAGGTCTTGGCCCTGAGAGTCCAGAACTGCTGCAAATAAACTCTGACTTTTCCGGTTATAGGGGTAAGGCAGAAGACACTGGAAAGTAGGTAGTTTAAGGGAATGCCACCTGCAAACCTATTCACAATAGCAACTAACCCTGACAGGACAAATGTGTTTGTAAAATGAGGGTTATGAAATGTGCAAGTTGAATGTAGAGATTTCCTAACGCCAGAATGAAATGTCTGAGTTTCTGTGTTTGCTTTGAGACAGGGATTCTGATGAAAAGCCCAGGCTGGCCTGGAACCTGGGTGTCTCATGCCTCAGCTTCCTGGCAGATGTTACAAGGAAGGCAACAGGCTATCCAGAAGACCTTCTTGTCGACAGAGGTCAACTTACCTCTACTTTTTCTACTACTTGTTTCCCAAAAGAGCACACTTTGGTGGAACAAGTAACCGTCATGTTTTCAGAGCTCTCGTACTGACTGCTCACACCATAAAAAGCCCCAGCATCATCTTGGATATTGCAGTTTAAGTCCGCCTGTTGGAAGGAAGTGGGAGCAGGTTAATTTTCTCATCCTAGGATCACGGTGGCAAAGAACAGAGTAACCACCAAACAGCTATGCAGTGGGGAAGAGAGACCTCTCTACAGACACCACCTTGATAGGAAGCCACTTCCTTCCTAGGCAGGACTGGAACTTGCTATATATATAGCAAGTCTCCACCTCCTAAGTGCTTATAGGAATGTGCCACCATACCCAGTTCCTATTTGCCAGGGGTTGAACCCAGTCAGGGCCATGCATGCTAGGTAAGCACTCCACCAACTAACTGAGCCCTGCAGTGATACACATCTTGGAAGTTGTCACTTGTGAGGACATGGTACCTACCAACATGCATTCAGTCTGACTTACTTGCATTTTGTGTTGGAACAGCACTGTACCCTTGTAATGAAAATTCTAGAAGATTCTAAAATGTACAGAAAAGCAGGGAATGAACTGACTATATACTCAGCCAATCTTGTGAGAGACTTAAAACAAACAGGCCCCTACAGATGACACCACATGCGGAGAGGAAAGGCTTCCTATTAATGACCACCCTACAAAGATGCTAAATCACAGCTACTCAAGTTACTTAAAATACGCACAATAACTTGCCAATATACATACATGTTTTGAAAATACCAAGTTAGAATGAGAGTTATGGTTTGTCATCAGCAAAGTTGTCACCCATGGTGGCCACAAATCTAGATTCCACAAGAGTGGATTGGATGCTCTCTTTGTTTATCCAGTGCTAACTCTATTTCAGCTCTATCTAAAGTTTCAAATCCTAAACAGAGGAGTGGCTGAGTCTTCTCCTTCATTCTCAACATCACTACTCAACTGTCACTCATTACAAATCTGTTAAAGGAAACCAATGGTTGAGGCTGTACGTGGGGCAATGCTTGCTCAAGCTGAGGCTGCAGGAAAGAACTATAATGCACCTATGTGCCTTACAAATACCACAGGCTAGGAGTGCTAATTTAAAGCATGTATGTGCTCCAATTATCATTTCCTTAATTATTTAGGAATTAGGCAAATAATTTGAAGGGGCATTTCATCAGCAGAATTATTGTAGAGCTGTGTGTACATGATAATAATGAAAAGATTTTTTTTAGACAAATGGCTCCTGTCATTGGCTGTCAATTCCCCACCAGATCATGTTCATTTCTGCTTTGCTCTGGGTCATTACTATGTCTTAGGACTGGTCCAGATACTGCTGACAAGTTTTCATTTGGAGTAGATGATCTACCATTATAACTACCCTTAAAAATGAAGTTACTGGTCAGGTCTGGTGGCACAGCCCTGTAATCCCAGCATTCTGGAGGCTGAGACAGGAGGATTGCAGCAAGTTTGAAGCCAGCTTGGTCTACAGTCAATTCAAGGTCATCGAGAACTACATGAGACTCAGTATTAAAACATAAAGTTACTAAAGGTCTGGAGGGATGGCTCCGCCTTTAAAGGTTAAAAGCTCTGGCTGCTTTTCCCAAGGACCTGGGTTTGATTCTCAGCACGAACATGGCAGTTTATAACTGTCTGTAATGCCAGTTCCGAGGGAACTGATGCCCTCATATGCAGTATGCAGACAGATTCCACAACAAGGGTGGATGCAGCAAAATACCTAGATACACTAAATAAATGAATGAATGAATGAATGAATGAATGAATGAATGAATAAATAAATAAATAAATAAATAAATAAATAAATAAGGAAAGAAAACTTCAAGGTGCTGGGGCTGAAGCTCAGTTGGGAGAGTGCTCATCAAGCAAACACCTCAAAACTGGGCACTCAGGAGGTGGACAGAGTGTCAGAAGTTCAAGGTCATCCTCAGTTGCTCAGTGCGTTTGAGGTCAGCCTGAGGTGTATGTGATGCTATCTCAAACAAAACAAACTTCAACAGCAGTGTCACAAGGTGTTCACCCTGGTGCTTTTCTTGCTCTCCTAGCATTTTTATTTTATTTTATTTTGTTTTGTTTTTCTCTGTAGCTCTGGAGCCTGTCCTAGAACTCGCTATGTAGAGCAGGCTGGCCTCCAACTCCCAGAGATCTGCCTGTCTCTGCCTCTTGAGTACTGAGATTAAAGGCATATGTGTGCCACCACCACCCGCCTCTTCTGGCATTTTACTTGTGATGTTCAGTCATGTGATTTCTCATGGTTCATTCACCCTTGTTACTTTAGCATAGACTGGTTCTGAACCTGTCTTGTTTTTTCTTACCCTTACATTCTTACTTTGGCGGCACATGCTTTTAATCCCAGCACTCAAGAGGCAGAAGCAGGCAGATCTCTTTGAGTTTGAGGCCAGCCTAGTATACAGAGCAAGTTCCAGGGAAGCCAGGGCTTCACAGAGAAACCCTGTTTGAAAAAAAAACAAAACTAAAAACCAAAACAAAACAGTAACTCTGAGAGAACTTCAAATTGGAGATGTAAATTTCAGAGTTTAGATTTTGAAAGGATTCCCCAGTGAATGGCAAATAATCCATTTGGCAATATCACAACTGCTTTACAAACGCTATCCCTGTGCATGAAAAATAATCACACAGTCATCAACTGTCACAGACGTTCTCTAGGGATGGTCTATGAGAAGGCACTGATATGAAAGGGAATTACCTGTCAGCATTAGAACAGTAAAACTATTCTTGAAAGAAACTTGGTCAATGAACTCCCCAACAGCAAGGAAAACATAAGAAAGAATGCAAACATTAAAGAAACAAAGGAGACAGTTGTATTGAGTCTGGGGCTCACAAACTCCCTACCCACTCTGTTTATTTCCCCACAACCAATGACTTGGGTATAAAAACATCTAACTCAGACTGGAGGGATGACTCAATGGTTAAGAAAACTGACTGCTCTTTCAGAGGTCCTGAGTTCAGTTCCCAGCACCCACATGGTGGCTCACAAGCATCTGTAACTGTAGTCTCATGGGATCAGATGGCCTCTTCTGCTGTGCGGATAGATGTACAGGCACAGGTACACACATATACATAAAATAAACAAATCTTTGAAAAACAAACACCTAACTCTTGGAATTCTGAAGGGGGAAAAATTATGTTGCTCTTGCAAACTATTGCTGTTAGTTTTTAATCTAACCACAGGGTGTTTTCTGAGAGCAAGTAAACACAAAGATACAAGAGACAGTGGAAGGAAACCCTCGCTCTTGCTGCATACCAGGTTTGAAACACATCCTGGACTCTGAGCTAGTTGGAGCAGGTTGACTGTAGAGTGCATTCTGCAAAGGGGAGGGATGGACAGCCCTTCTGAGAGACCCACTCAGCTGCCCTAAGGAGGAATGAACTTCGGAGTTTAATTCCTTCTCCTCCATGCAGAAACCCCTCTAGGGCTACCCCAGCCAGTGCTACCCAACGTCTAAGTGTTTCCATGAATTTCTTCAGTAGCATTGCAGGATGCAGCCAAGGGTCACACAGCTGCTTTTCTGTCCAGTGTGCTCTCTGCTGCTGTTGCAACAAACTGCCACAGATTCAGAGGCTTAAAACATTAACTGATCTTGCACTCCGGCAGCCAGAAATCCTACTAGGTCTCACCAGGCTAAAACCAAGTTATGGATTAGCAAGGCTGTCTCTCAATGGAGACTCTGGGAGAAAAATCTGTTTCTTAGCCTCTTCTAGTGTCTAGGGACACCTGAATTCCTCATGTGTTGCCCCTGCTTCCATTCCTTCTTATCTCTCTGGGTGTATCTTCTTCAACGCTCTTCTCCATGACCACACTGGGCTCAGTCAGAAATGTAAGCTACCCCCACCTGAACCTTAGCCCCCCCCACCTCCTCCCTGTGCCTTGCTGGGTAGTGTGGCATAGTCACAGACCCCACAGACACAGACAACGGCACTCTCTGGGGCATCACAACTTTGCCCAGCACAGGTGCTGACAAGTTGGTGGTAAAGGTCCATTCAGAGAAAATGCATCTCTCTCAAAGACAGAATCTCTGGCCTGCGTGGAAACCTAGCAGTTCAGATGGGCAGGGTCAAGGACCTGGCTAAGGGACTGACTGCCCTTCAGGAAGATGGTTCTACTCCCTGTAAGGTAGGTTCACCTCAAGCCACTCTAAAGGAGTAATACTCAGGCTTTAATCAGATAGTACATTTCTCTCCCAGAATTTCTGCCTCAAGGCTGCAGTATACCAGGACAACTATAGGGCTCCAGGAACCTGTCCTCTTTCCTGAATTACTCAGAAAAGCTTCCTCTTTCCTTTATTTCTTTCTTCCTCTGTTCTAAGCATGCTGCCTCTTGTACCCTGGGCTTCCTTATGCTTCCTCTAAAACTCCCTTCCCAGCCATGCGGTTGCCTCTCAGCCATGTGGCTGGCTGACCTCCATGGAAGTTAACTCAAATGCCATGACTTCCATCCCCTTCTCTTCTCTAAGCAGTGCTGAGATTTGCAGTTTGTCTGCTTTGGGGATTTTCTTTTAAACTATATAAAGAGCTGCCCTCTCACTCCATTTAGGCCATTCTTAAATTCTCTTGTTAATGAGACTAAGAACTTCAGGAGGGGACCCTGATTTTTCTGTCATCACAGCTTCCAGTAATGTCCACCCAGACCTCCAAGTGTTAGAAGACAATTCTGCCTTCAGTTCTGTTGAGCTCTCCTATTATCTCCAGTGGGCTCCATCCTAGGACTCAAATTACAATCTATTTTCATTAAGCCTCCCCTCTCATGTTAGGCTCCTGTCTATCTAATCCAGATATTCTGGATGCTGCTTCACCTGTCATTGTCTCATCTCTGTCATCTGAACAATGGCATGGACAGCAGAGCCTCACATTTCTCATCTTTAGAGAAGATGACCTGTAAGCTGCAAAGTGCTGTACTAATGACAGTAAGTAAACAGCACCAGCCATCACTCCTGTTAACTCCACAACTGAAATGTGGATCAGGACAGAGCTGAAGTCCCATCTACAGAGACCTGACCATACAATCAATAAACATGACCATGACCATCAAGATACAAGGTTTAGCTTCAATCCACACGTGTGTGAATGGCTGGCTGGCTTTTCC